TAGGTGTGGGGTTTCTTCTAAGGGCAATGAGAATGTTGTGCAATTGGATGGTGGTGATGGTTGTACAACTTTGTGAATATACTAAACTCTACTGAATTTTACACTTTGAAAGAGTGCTCATAATCCCACCATCCAGTCAGAATGATCTACTGGAAACCCAGCGTTGAGGCCACTCCCCTTGAAAGCTTCCCATGATGGTTGAGGAAATGTACAAACTCACAACAACGCTTACCAGTATGTCCCGGTTCACCTACTGCCCCAGCCTCCCTCTGGCCTCCCTCCTCTCTATGCTTTTGCCTTAGTGACCCCTTCTTGCCCATGAATACCCCATGTTCTCTCCCACCTGAAGTTCCTCCTGGGCATGGAACATTCCCGTGCCCTGGCCTATCTAATCAATCTGATTTTGACTTATTGGTGACTTCCTTAGGGAAAGCTCCTGGCCTGACTCTAACAATATATCCCTTTGCTGTGTGACCTATGTAACATCCCAATTTCCCTTTGATGAAACTCATCATCAGATGTCTGTTTCCATGATAAACTGCAGTGGGCAGGGACCTGTACCTACCTGCCTTATCGCTATCCTCCCACAAGTAACAGATCCCACCATCCACTGTGCCCCCTAATTGACAAATTCCTACCCACCCTTCAAATCTCACTCATGCCCTGGCCTGTATAGCTCAGTTGGTTGGAGCAACATTCCCTGCACCAAGGGTTGTAGGTTTGATTCCCAGTCGGGGCATGTATGGCAGCCGATCAATGTTTCTCTCCACATCAACATTTCTCTCTCTCCCTCTCCTTTCCCCTCTCTCTCTCTCTCTCTCTCTCTCTCTCTCTCTCTCTCTCTCAGATCACTGAAAGCATAGCCTCAGTGACTTTCAGGGGGACAGTCTTCTCTGAGCCCCCAGGTATGGGGGCACATTCCTTTATGTAGCCTCACAACTTGCCGGACATCTCTTGTAGCTCGTAGCACACTGTACACGCCACTGATTTTACTATGTCTCCCCTCCATAGACCTTCTATTTTGCTTGTTGCTCTTTGCCCCAGCACCTAAAACAATGCTCATCACAAGACTCCTCTCAGGGCAGGCCACAAGAATTCTTACAAAAATCCCTAAAATTGCATGCAAAATTCCATGTGCATGTACATTTTTCTAAAAAAAAAAAAGTCCATGGCTTTTGTTGGGGTTTCAAGTGTCTAAGACCCAAAGGAAGTTAAGAACTTCTCCGCAAAGCTGAGGGAGTTTGTCTTTCCTTCAAAACAGCACTGCCAGCACAGACGTCTATGTGAACCACCCCCATCAGAATAGGAGTTCCTAGAGGGCAAGGATTTTTATGTTGTGTTGACTGATGTGTCCCAAATGCCTGGAATAGTGCCTGGCCCATCCTCGGTATAGGTGTGGAATGACCATAGTCTCAGACAATTGTAACAGCTGTGAGAACTGTACGTGGATTGGATAGTTACTGCTGCATAGAAAATTACCCCAAAATGTAATCGCTTAACATATATTATCTCAGTTTCTCTAGGTCGGGCATTGGGGTACAGCTTCAATGGGTCCTCTGCTTCAGGGTTGCTCACAAGGCTGCAGAGAGAGGGAGGGAGGGAGAGGGAGGGAGAAAACACACAAGATGGCCATTACAATCGTCTTAACCTGAGAAGTGGCATCCCATCACCTTTGCTGTGTTATTAGAAGCAAGTCTCTAGGTCTCGGGCATACCCAGGGGGATGAAATAGCAGCAGGCAGGATATTGAGGGCCATCTTAGAGACTGCCTACAACACATTTCCTCATATAGCATCCAGCTCATCTGAGCACGCAGAGCAGAAGGCGCAGACCAAATGCCTTCAGGTCAGGCAGACGATGACAAGGAAGAAGAGAGCGGAGGGAGGTTTGGTGGACAGCCGAGCCTCTGCCCACCTCTGCCCATCCTCCAGACACAGCTACCAAGCAGCAATGTGGGCTGACTTATCAGATCTTCTAAGTTTTCAAAAGAAACCAGAGTCCAGATTTTTGTGAGACATTTCCTGATTTTTAAAGCTGTGATAATCTAGCAAGAACACATCTATGGATGTTTTTGCCTCTTCTCTATGGCTCAAAGGGCCTAAGCCATTCTAATATCCTTTGCATGTCTGTTCCATCTCCTGCACCCACCCACCCCTCACCCCCTGCACTCACTCACTGAGGGCAGGGGCCTAACTAGCTCACTTTGGGCACTTTATGTACTTCTTTGTATGTTACGGGCCAACAATAAATATTGTTGAATGAAATGTGAAATTGCTCTCATTGGGAAGCACTTCCCGACCCCCAATCCCAGAGGACTGGTTAGAAGTAGGTGCTGCTCGCCCTAACCGGTTTGGATCAGTGGATAGAGCGTCAGCCTGCGGACTGAAGGGTCCCAGGTTCGATTCCAGTCAAGGGCATGTACCTTGGTTGCAGGCACATCCCCAGTGGGGGGGCGTGCAGGAGGCAGCTAATCAATGTTTCTCTCTCATCGATGTTCTGACTCTCTGTCCCTCTCCCTTTTTCTCTGTAAAAAAAACAATAAAAAATATTAAAAAAAAAAAAAAAAAGAAGTAGGTGCTGCTGTCTGAATAAGTTGAAATCCTGGCTCTGCTACTCGCTTGCTGTGTGACTTTCAGCAAGTTATTAACTTTCCAGAGCCCTGGCTTCTTCATCTATAAAATGAGAATAGTGGTACCCGCTTCAGTTATTTGTAAGGATTAACTGTAATAAACATACTTATTAGCACACTATAGCAACTCAATAGCTGTTCTTACTCCCACCGCCCCCCTTCTTTCCTCCCTGGCTCCCTGGCCCCGCTCCCCTTAATCCAGTGGTTCTCAACCTGTGGGTCACGATCCCTTTGGCGGTCAAATGACCCTTTCACAGGGGTTGCCTAAGACCATCCTGCATATCAGATATTTACATTATGATTCATAACAGTAGCAACATTACAGTTATGAAGTAGCAACGAAAATAATTTTACGGTTGGGTCACAACATGAGGAACTGTATTTAAAGGGCCAGAAGGTTGAGAACCACTGCCTTAATCCATTAAACCATCATCTACCACTATCCACCCTGGCGGCTAGAGGGAGCCTCTAAAATGAGAGATCTGTCATGTTCCCAGGCAGAGTTAGCATCCTTCAACAGTTTGCTGATGCCCTTAATAGAAAATCCAAACTCTAACAGCTCACCAGGCTCTTCTGGACCTGCGTCTGCCCAGCCTTCAGGTCTCATCTCTCACCACAGCTCCCTGCACACTCGACACTCCAGGCACACCCAAGCTCTGCTTCCTGAAACCTCCATACTTTCTGCCACTTCAAAGCAAGTGTTCTCCCCACAACTACTATCGCTTCAAAGCAAGTGCTCTTCTAGATGTTCCAGCTATGTGCTCAGAGAATTTGTGGCATTCCTTACTAAACCTGAAGGCAGGTGCAATATCAATTTTCTTCACTCTCCACTCTTCCTAGCACAACGCCTGCATAGAATAGGCAAATAATGCATAATTGTAGAATTGTTCACAGCAGTGCTCATCCCGTGAGCTGACAGCGCCACCTGTTGACCCAATCTTGCACTTCAGCACTTGGAAAGGAGCCTTAGCTCTCTGCCCACCACTAGCGCAGATGAACAATGGTTTTGAAGTTTTCCAGGGGTCTATCAGTGTCCCCTCACACAAAACTTAGCAATTAAAAAAAAAAAGAGCTAACATTATTGAGGCTAAATGCTTTAGTTACTAACACAATTTTTACAACCACTCAATGAGTTATACTTTCATTGCCATTTTGTGGATGAGGAAACAGGCACGGGGCAGTTAAATGCCTCGCCCACATCCCGCTGCTAGGAAATGTCACCTCAGGCTGTCTGGCTTGAACCTGCACCTGTAAGCCTGAAACTCACTGCTTTTATTGTTTCCTTCACTCATGCCCAGTGACCTCCCAGACACTTCCATCTACAGGGAAGGCCCACTGTGAAGGTACTATCACAGTGGCACTGGTGCCAACCGAAAACTCACGTAGAGTGTGCCCCACACATTCTGAAAGCTGCACAACTCTCCAAGGGCACCCCTCGGGAAGGAATTAGATGTGGTGGCAGCCTCTCCTGTGAGACAGCAGACGCAGCAGCCAGCCCCGGCCTCCATGTTACTGCTCTACTCGAGACTCCAGCAAGCACCGCTCCTCTGCACCTCCAGCTCCTCAGAGGACTCTTGGGCCCAGCTGGGCGGATCAGACTGGGTGGATAGTATCTGAAGAGTGAGGAGCGCAGTCCCTGATTCAGGTGGACGCTGAAGGGCAGTGATCACTCAGTCCCCTGCCTGGATCACTCCCATCACACACCAAGTTGGGTTCCCTCACATGCTCGATATCACTGTGTAGAACCAAAAGACTGACTGCTTCCTTCTTAAACACAACTATTTTTCACTGGCTCCTCTAAGTATTTTTCTAGATAATTTGTGAAAATGCCTGCCTCCACTTAATTTTGTTATTAAAATATATTTATACTATCAATAATTACTTATTTTATTTTATAATTAATTACTCATTACTTTATATATATTTAATATAAATATAAATGTATCCTTTACAAGTTATATCTATAATATAAACATTAAATATATGTATACACATTTAACAGTATATAGCATGTTATCTAAATGTGTATATTTAAATATACAATATATATACATAGCCATATATATGGCTAAAATTTATTACTTCCAATGCCCCAGTCATTATTCTAAATACTTCACACATATTAACTCATTTTATCTTTACAACAGCCCTATGATTATCCCCATTTTACAATGAGGAAGCTAATGCAGTGAAATGACATGTTCAGGGTCACACATCAAGTGGCTCACCTGGAGTGCAAACCTGTCATTAGACCAGTCTATACTTGTAAACACTGTGAGACTCCCTCTGCTGGTAGAGGTTGTGTCGGTCTGCTGCCTTTACTCTGATGTGCCAGGCATCTTGATGCTAAGAGCATTTTTTATTTGCACACAGTAGGTGTCAACAAAATCTTTTAATATACACACACACATACACACACACACGCACAGTCACATTCCAGTGTGACAAATACCCATTCTTCAACTGGGAGAGAGCCAGGCTTCAGGCTCCCGGAGACTCTCTAGAGACAGCCTAGGCCTGACAGTCTTCACAGATGACACCCCACAGGGGCACTTTAATTAGACAAGTGGGAAGGGACAGGGTGCACCTCGGGGTGGATCCTGTGGGGCCTCATGCAGGCCCAGAGCTCTGCTGCATCCTCTTCATCAGCTCTTCATCCTGCATAGACAACTCTGTCAGCTTTTTGCCCATCCGCTCATGGATGTCCAGGTACTTGGAGACACACCGGTCCAGGCATACAGACTCGCCCTTGGACAGTTCTGCTTCCTTGTAGTGGGGAGGCACGCACTTTCGGTGGCAGGCACTTGTCATTCTGGGAGGAAGGGAGGGCAAGGTCAGGTCAGCAGCACCTTGTGGCATACAGGGAACTCTCAACCATTCCTGACGTGCTTAACTGATTCACCTCTGAGGCAGGCAGTATAAATCCTCAGTTTACACCTCAACTATTATGGAAGGTCCTTGAGAATAGGAACCTTACCTGAGCCCACGTTTATAACTAATTAAATAGAAACCATTAGTTGAGTACTGGCTATGTTCCAGGCATCATGCTAAGTGCTTGACATGACTTTTATGGTAACTCTATAGTTACACAGGATAAATATCCCCATTTTACAGATGAAGAAAATAAGGTACAGAGAGCCTCAGGACCACATACAGCTGAGATATTAACCCAGGTAGTCTGACTTCACAGCCTACATTTAAAAATTGTTCTAACATATATCCTCCAACACAAACCAACCAGTAAGCAGAGGATACCAGAGAGCTCAAGCTAATAAAAATAGCAGACATATGTTGACTGCTTACTATGTATTGGCTTGATGCTAAGAGCTTGTCATACATTTTAACATTTAATACATTTTTTAAAGATTTGTTTTTATTAATTTTTGGAGGGGAAGGGAGAGCGAAACATCAGTCAGCTGCTGACTCCTGAAAGTCCCCTGCTGCGGATGGAGCCCACAAGCTGGGCACGTACCCTGACCAGGAATCGAATTGGCAACTTTTCAGTACACGGGATGATGCCCAAGCAACTGAGCCACATTAGCCAGGGCAACATTTAATATTTATAATGTCTCTATGAGGTAGGTAGTAGTATTGCCTCCATTTGATAGACGGGGAAACCACTGGTCAAATAGTCCAAGTAATCTGTCCAAGACCATACCAGTGGTAATTGATAGAGCTATGAATTGTTCCCAAATTTGCCAAAGTACTGGACCTCACATTGCTACTGACCAGCTGTGGACCCTGAGAAAGTTATTTAAACTCTAGAAGCTTCCTTGTTCTCACAGTAAAATTAACCCAGTGGATTATTTTTTGTTTCTTTATTTATTGATTTTAGAGAGGAAGGGAGACATGTATATAGAGAAACATCAATTTATTATTCCACCTATTTATGCATTCATTGGTTGATTCTTGCATGTGCCCTGACCGGATATCAAACCCACCTGCAACCTTCGAGTATCAGGACGGCCCACTTAACCAACTGAGCTACCTGGCCAGGGCCACCCAGTGGATTATTTTGAAGATTAAAAAAGATAATGCATGTAAAATGTTTAGCAACTGCCTGAGGTAGAGTAAGAGTTTAAGCAATGTTAAGTAAGTGGGATATGTTCTATTTTTCAAAAGGCAAATACTTTCAACTGTTCTTGGAACCTAACCAGAGACTGAACTGGACCTTCTCTCCTGCTCAGCTCCTTCATCGCCAATCCATCCCAGCCTAAATGCCCAACTCCTTCTAGTGACCCTATACTATACTGAGTCTGCATTGGCCTTTAACCATGGGGGGTGGAGGTGGGTGCCCCCCTAAATTGAGCAAAGCATTTTTCATAAGTCATCCACCTCTACACTCAGCAAGAGCAACCTAGGATCCTTCCCTAAGACAGAGTCGGCTCTTACCTGTTGTACATATCCGCCATCATTTCTACCTCCAGCTCCGCCGCCAGCTGCTGGGCCCTGAGCGGATCCATCTCAGCCCTGCACGGTGATCTCCTTCCTACCTTCTAGTCCTGGGAAAAGACATCACCGTCAGCACCCACCTCTCCCGTTCACTTTCCCATCCCCGGAGTTAAAGGTGCAGAGTCATCATAGGGCATCAGACCGGCAGGGGCCACTGACCTGAGTTCAACCATCCCATTTCACAGATGTGGAAACTGAGGCCCGGGAGGGGAACACTGCCTAGCCCAAGGTCACACAGCACGTCACTAGCGGGGCTGGACATTGAGTCCCCGGGCCCGACGCTCAGGGCTTCTAGGTCACCTCTCCCCAGGAGACCGAGACACGGGGAGGGAACTCTCTAAACCGCAGGCCTGACACTCCGCGGCCCTAGGAATTGGATCCTCCGCGGAACAACGTGCCCGGGCCCGGCCCCGGCGCAGGGGCTGCACCTCTGAAGTGGCGGCGACATCACCAGTGTCACCCTTAGGTCAGACGTCACTCAACACAGCCTGGAGCCGGTCACAAAGCCCCCGGTGCCCCCAACTTCAGGCAAACACTAGAAACTTACCAAGAACCCAAGTGGGCAAAGGTGGAAACACGTGGGCCACTTCCGGGCGGAAGTCCCGCCCCCTTCGGGTCCGGACTTGCTCTTGGAATGAAGTACCAACGAGGCGGCGCTAGGAAACCGGCTCCGGCTGAAGGCGAAGGCGGCTTGCAAGTGCTAGAGAGGACACCCAAATACCATAGAGGCTTGGGCGGAGTGCAGAGCGCCGGCAGCCTGGAGGTCAAGTCCCTGGCGTTGTCAAGGGAGAGGCTTGGGTTTATTGGTTCTCTAGGAAGGGGCGGGACTACGGCGCTCAGGGAACCTCGTCTCCGGTCCTCCGAGAGCCGACACCTGAGCACAAATCAGGCGCGTGGGGGGAAGGACGCCCCAAACAGCGGTTCTCAGTTGGTGCTGCACGTTAAGGTCACCTGGGACGCTTTAAAAAATCCTGATGCCCAAGGCGCCTCTCTACCAATTATACCAGAGACTCTGGGAGTAGAGCCCAGATACTAGCAGTAAACTTTTAAATTCCCAGGTGAGTTAGATGTGCATTAATGTGCATTAGATGACGAGAAGAAATTACTATCATTTTGAGGGTGTAAAATGGCACTGTAGAAAAAAGACGTAGATAAAAGTAGATGAGGAAAGTATGGCTTGATGTGAATAATGGTTAAATCCTGGTGATAGGTATTTGGAAGTTCAATATACTGTGCTCTCCACTGTATGTTTTAAATTGGCCATAATAAAGTCTAAAACTTAAAAAACAAGAAAACACCAATGATTTCTTTTTACTGAGCATCTGCCTTGGACTAACTGCTGTAATTACATTGTTTTGTTTATTTTTCTTTTTGTAATGATTTTTTTTAAAGTTGACTTTGAAATAATTATGGATTTGCAGGAAGTTTCATAAATTGTACATAAATTCCTTTGTGCAACCAAGTTTGGGAACGAGTGCTTCAAGAAACTTTGTGTGAATACAGCTGCGTGCCTACAGGTCACTAACCTTTCTCTGGGATTACACAGATAAGGGAGACATAGTTCCTGCTTGCAGAAAGACAAGACATATACTAGTATACTTGTGTTTTATTCAACTTCTGTTAGACTCACTGGGCCATAAAGAGGTGAATAGGAGCTATTTTGACTGCCACTAGAGTTAACCTAGTGTGTTTAGTCATGGGAGAAGGAGAGTGAACTCTATCTTTCAAGACTTAATTGTTTCCACTGCTCCCCCACACCCCCAACAACAACAGCAAAACCCCAAACACCTCAATTCCTTGATTTTTCAAGGGATTTCCCAGTAAAAGAAATTTAGGAGATACGAGTTAGTAATGCAAGGGTACACTTCCCATTGGAGAAGGGGGGCTGAACACTTTGTATGGTTGGTCACCAAATGCTTCCTTAATTGTCCAAGAAAGTCCAGATTTTCAACACTATGCCTTCTGCTCTAAGGACACGTCTTTATCAAACCCTGTGCCCTGACATTTTAAAATATCTTTTTATTGATTTCAGAGAGGAAGTGAGAGGGAGAGAGAGAGAAACATCAATGATGAGAAAGAATCATGGATGGGCTGCCTCCTGCACGCCCCCTACTGGGGATCAAGCCTGCAACTCCTGGCATGTGCCCTTGACCTGAATCAAACCTGGGACCCTTCAGTCTGAAGGTCGATGCCCTATCCACTGAGCAAAACCAGCTAGGGTGCTCTGATGTTTTAAAGTTGAGGTATAACATTGGTACAGTAAAGTGTGTAAAATACACGAATCTTAAGCTTAATTTTAAAATATACATTCTCCTATAACTACCACTCCGATCAAGATACATATTTCCAGCAACCTAAAAAATTATCTCATGTTCCTTCCCAGTCAATACCTCCTCTCCTGCAGTTAATCACTATTCTGATTTCTATCACTATCAGTTTTGCCTATTATTGAACTAAATGTAAATGGAATTATGCATTATTTCTGTTTTTAGCTCAATGTAGTGTCTATAAGATTACATCCATATTGTTGTGTGTATGTTATTCATTCTTTTTATTACTGTCTAGCATTTGATTGTATGAATAAGCCACAATTCATTTATCCATCCATTCATTGATGGACTTTGAGGTGGTTTCCAGTTTGGGGCTATTACGACTAATGCCTCCATAAATATTATTGTCCATATGTTTTAGTAGACATATGTTGCCCTAGTTTTTGCTTTTGGAAATATAGTCAACATATTATGGAATATTAAGAAATTGTATGGGAAAAGGAGATGGGTTCTTATAAGAGATCTATTTTCTAGATGGGGTTTTTATTAGGGTGGGATGAACGGTTAAATACTGTATGATTCCCTTTATTTTTTAATATATTTTTATTAATTTCAGAGAGGAAGGGAGAAGGGGAGGGAGAGAGAGAGAGAGAGAGAGAGAGAGAGAGAGAGAGATCAGCGATGAGAGAGAATCATTGATTGGCTGCCTCCTCATACCCCACACTGGGGATCGAGCTTGCAATTTGGAATTGAACCAGTGATGTCCTGGTTCATAGGTCGACCACTGAGCACGCCAACCGGGCTGTATGATTCCCTTTAAATAACATTCTCAAAACAACAAAATTATAGAAACGGAGAAGAGATTGATGGTTGCCCGGGGTTAGCGTTGGTTTGGGGGGAGGCGGGAGGTGTGCCTATAAAGGACAAAGGGGATCTTTGTGGTGATGGACAGGTTCTGTGTCCCATTTGTGGAGGTGGTTACACAAATCTACAGATATGGTAAGGTGTCATAGAACTATGCACACCATTGTGCCAATGTCAGTTTCCTGGCTTTGATATTGCATATAGTTATGTAAGATTTAACCTTTAGTGGAAGCTAGGTGAAGAGTAGACAAGAGTACTATTTATGCAACTTCCTGTAAACCTATAACTATTTCAAAATAAAAACGTTTTCAAAATCATTACAAAAAGAAAGCAAACAAAAAAGATAATGTCATTAAAGCACCTAGTTCATGACAGATGCTCAATAAAAAGAAATCATTATATTTTTTAAAAATTTTTAGACTTTTATTAAGACAAATCTAAAATAGAGGGGGTAAATGGTGATGGAAAAAATGAAATAAAATAACAACAAATAAATATTTAATTTAAAAATAAAACATACAGAAAATTGGAGAGCACAGTATATTGAACTTCCATATACCCATCACTGGGATTTAACAATTATTAACATTTAATCACATTTTCTTAATCTATTTTTATCTGTAACAAATAAAGTCTTTTTTCCACAGTGCCCTTAAAACTATAGTAATTTCTTAATGTCATCTAATGCATATATTCAATCTCCCCCAATTTTTCAAGAATGGCTTTTTACAGTGACAAAAACATGAGATCTACTCTCTTAACAAATTTTCAAGTGCACAAAACAGTATCGTTAACTATATGCTCAACGTTGAACAGATCTTATGTAGATCTTATTCATCTTGAATAGCCGAAACTTTATACCGTCGAACAGCAACTCCACATTTTCCCCTTGCTCTAATACCTGGGAAATCATTGTTCTTATTGATGATTATGTTATTGTTACTATCTACTATGAGACTGTGTCTTTTCCTTGCTAGACTTACTAGTATACAGTTGGAAATTTGAAGGCCTATAAGTAGGAATCTCAAATTGTCCCTGTTAAGATTTGTCTTGTAAAAGACAGTTTCTATAGCCCCAGGCTTCCAAGGTCTCTGGAATCCAGATACCTCATCCAAAACTGCTGACCTCTGTCCGCACGCTGAAGCTCTAGCCCCTCACTCTACCCTGGGGTATTACCCCTTCCCAGCCTCCCAAAGGGGAGTTGGGTATTTGTTACTCGCCATGATCAGTACCGTCCTCTTGGATGGGACCTCAGCCTTGAGGAAGGGATGCAAGGTTGTCACCCAGGATCTCCCCACATGGGCCCTGACCACTCATGAGAGGAGTGGAGAGTACAAAGACAGCCTAGTTGAACTCCCCTGAAATGAGCAGAAGACAAGAGAATACGCATGTCAAGGGCTTGAACAGACTGGTCATTCGATGAGCTTGAAGAGCAAGACAGCGCAGTCTTAGTCCCTGTTACCCACTGGCACCATTCCTCACCACCCCTCACCTCCACTGCTGACAATCTGGTCCACATCACCAACCACCATCTTGCATTACTGTAGCAGTCTCCTCGCTGGTTTGCCCGCTTGGTTCATGCTTCCCCTTCAGGCTATTCTCAAAACAGCAGCCAGAGGGATCTTGTCAAAAACTAATGTTAGATCGTGTCACTTCACAACCTAAGATACACCAATGGCTTCCAATCAGAGAGTAAAAGCCCAAGTCCTTACAATGGCCTCTAGGGCCCCATGTGATTCAGCCCCCCACTGCCTTTATCTCCTACCAGCTCCATCCCTCTGCCCAGCCTTGCTGGCCTCCTTCCGATGAACCAAACACCAAGCACACCCTTGCCTGTCCCTTGCTGTGCCCTCTGCCTGGGTTGTTTTCTCCCAAATAGCTGCATGCCTCCCCCTCCCACCTCCTTCAGGTGTTAACTCCAATATCACCGTCTCAGTGATGCCTTCCTGGATCACTCTACCCCCCACCCCCCAAAATAAAACACCTCCTTTTCTCTGCTACCTTTCCCCCTGTAGAACCTATCACCAACTAATATAACATATTCTATATTTTTATTTTCTTACTATCTCTCCACACTAAAGTGTGAGCTCTATGATCTAGTTTTGCCCATTTTTTGTTGTGTTCACTGCTGTGTCTCCAGCACATACAAGGAGTTCAAAAACCATTTGATCAATGAATACATGAAACTGTCTAAGAGAAGTTTTAATGAGTGATTCAGTGATCTTATATTTTGCTGTTTTCGATACCTAATGATGGTAGGGCTAGAAGAGAAATGAGTTTTAAGTTTAAAAAAGGACAGCAGGCTAGAGAGAAATATGAAAAAGCTCACCAATCTTGGGCAGGTAAACTGTGGATCTCAATACTGGAGACTGCCAACAACCATCAATATTGAACTGTTCAACATGGGTACCCAAACCTCGCTTTCAGATCATCCCAAGCACAGGCCCCCAAGTTCCAATTCCAAATTTCTATTAAGTAATTAACTCATGCGTTCAATATATTGAGCACCTCATATGAACCAGGCAATTTGCTAGTTCCTGGGCATACAGCCATGAGCAGAGT